TCAGCACTGGTGAGGCCACATCTGGAGTATTGCATCCAGTTTTGGTTCCCCCCCCCCACCAAAAGGATAGGGACAAATTGAGTCCAGCAGAGGACAATGGAAATGATTAGGGGATGGGGCACATGTCCCTCTTAATCATCTCTTTTCCAAGCTGAAAAGTTCCAAATGAAATTAATAGACAGCAGGTTTAAAACAAATAAAAATAAGTATTTCTTCACAACAATGCACAGTCAACCTGTGGAACTCCTTGCCAGAGGATGTTGTGAAGGCCAAGACCATAACAGGGGTCAAAAAAGAACTAGATAAATTCATGGAGGATAGGTCCATCAATAGCTATTAGACAGGGTGAGTAGGAATGGTGTCCTTAGCCTCTGTTTGCCAGAGGCTGAGAATGAGCAACAGGGGATGGATCACTTGATGATTACTCCCTCCGTTCATTCATTACCTGGCACTGGCCACTGTCAGAAGACAGGATACTGGGCGAGATGGACCTTTGGTCTGACCCAATAGGGCCATTCTTATGTTCTTATTAACAGCTTGTGAGGAAGTTGTTCTGTACCCCTAATAATTTTTGTCATCCTTTTTGTACCTTTTCCAGTTCCAATATATCTTTTTTGAGTTGGGGCGACCAGATCTGCATGCACGATGCAAGATGTGGGCGTACTATGGATTTATATGGAGGCAGTATGTTATTTTCGGTCTTATTATCTATCCCTTTCCTAATGATTCCCAACATTCAGTTTGCTTTTTTGACTGCCACTACACATTGAGCAGCTGATTTCAAAAAAGTATCCACAATGACTTTAAGGTCTTTCTTGAGTGGTAACAGCTAATTTAGATCCCATCATTTTATATGAATAGTTGGGATTATGTTTTCCAGTGTGTATTAGTTTGCAGTTATCCGCATTGAATTTCACCTGCCATTTTGTTACCCAGTCACCCAGTTTTGTGAGATCCCTTTGTAACTCTTCAGTCTGCTTTGGACTTTTCTTGAGTAGTTTTGCATCATCTGTAAATTTTGCCTCCTCACTGTTTACTCCCTTTTCTCAGATTATGAATATGTTGAACAGTACTTGTCCAAGGGGGACCACCACTATTTACTTCCCTAACCACTTATTCCTACCCTTTGTGTCCTATCTTTTAACCAGTTACTGATGTAGGAGGGGACCTTCCTTCTTATCCCCTGACAGCTTACTTTGCTTAAGAGTCTTTGGTGTGGGACCTTGCCAAAGGCATTCTGAAAACCTAAATACAGTATGTCCACTGGATCACCCTTCCTTCCCCTCTGCTTCTGTATATTAGCCTAAACCTGTTACCACTGAAGACAATGGCAACATTCCTATTGATTTAACTGGGAACAGAACCGGGCCCCTCCTGCTAGAAGTTTCTAAAATCATCAGTTTAAGAGGTCTGCTTCCCTTACTATCATCCTCCCTAACATGATTTGACTGTGGATTCTCTGAGCTCCATCTCCTTCTCTGTTGGATCCAAACATAACAAAATTCTCCTTTGGTTTCCTTGTTGTTCAAGGCTCCCTCCATCGTCAGAACTGCTTACCTCTTCTTAATCTTTCTTATGAATGATTCACGATCAGTCCAGGACCTCATTGGGACTGTAGTATTTGGGGCAGTGCCTTTAAGGACTGAGCTTTCCAGACAGAGTCTAGGCAGGGTGCTGTGAAACTCTTGTTATGTCCAGCCAGTTAGAACCACACTCCAAAGAAAGTAGAGCTCTTGCAAGCCTGTGATGCACTGTGTGATCTCTGACCACCACTTCTGAAACTCCGGTCCTTACTTTACTTGGGTGCTTAAATGGATGCTGATCTTTTTTTTTTTTTTTTTTTTTGGGGGGGGGGTGCAGGTTGGGTTTTTTTATTACGGTGCTAATAAATGATGGTCACATAAACACCACCCTATACCGGAAACCTACTGACCGCTATTCCTACCTACATGCCTCCAGCTTTCACCCTGACCACACCACTCGATCCATTGTGTACAGCCAAGCTCTGCGATACAACCGCATTTGCTCCAACCCCTCAGACAGAGACAAACACCTACAAGATCTCTATCAAGCATTCTTACAACTACAATACCCACCTGCGGAAGTGAAGAAACAGATTGATAGAGCCAGAAGAGTTCCCAGAAGTCACCTACTACAGGACAGGCCTAACAAAGAAAATAACAGAACGCCACTAGCCGTCACCTTCAGCTCCCAACTAAAACCCCTCCAACGCATTATTAAGGATCTGCAACCTATCCTGAAGGATGACCCAACACTCTCACAAATCTTGGGAGACAGGCCAGTCCTTGCCTACAGACAGCCCCCCAACCTGAAGCAAATACTCACCAGCAACCACATACCACACAACAGAACCACTAAGTCGCTATTTTACAACAAAAAATCTTAAAATCCGGACTCCAGCGAGAAACTGTTGAATTGGAATTCATTTGCAAATTGGATACAATTAACTTAGGCTTGAATAGAGACTGGGAGTGGTTAAGTCATTATCCAAGGTAACCTATTTCCCCTTGTTTTTTCCTCTCCCCTCCCCCCAGACATTCTTGTTAAACCCTGGATTTGTGCTGGAAATGGCCCACCTTGATTATCATACACATTGTAAGGAGAGTGGTCACTTTAGATAAGCTATTACCAGCAGGAGAGTGGGTTTGTGTGTGTGATGGGGTGAGAAAACCTGGATTTGTGCTGGAAATGGCCCAACTTGATTATCATACACATTGTAAGGAGAGCGATCACTTTAGATAAGCTATTACCAGCAGGAGAGTGGGGTGGGAGGAGGTATTTTTTCATGCTTTGTGTGTATATAAAAAGATCTTCTACACTTTCCACAGTATGCATCCGATGAAGTGAGCTGTAGCTCACGAAAGCTCATGCTCAAATAAATTGGTTAGTCTCTAAGGTGCCATAAGTACTCCTTTTCTTTTTGCGAATACAGACTAACACGGCTGTTACTCTGAAACAAATGAGAATGAGTTAATACTACTGAAAGGGTTAAGGGGAATTTAAAAATATATCAAGGGAAAGACATGTTATGGGGAAAAGGTAACCATTAATATACAAGGAAGGGAATTAAATAAATTCTTGACCTCAGAGCAGAATGATTCTGTTCTAATCTGTTCAGGTTCTTATACCATGCCCTTTACTATAGTTTCTGAGTGGTTAAGAAACTGAACTTCTTCTGGGGGTCAGTACTAAATCATCAATGCAGAGCTGTTGCAACTGAATTTATATTAACACCTAGATGGGCATTGGGGAAAAAGCACACTTTGAATTATGTACTTCATTTTTAAGCAGCATTTAAGGACGATGTAGCAATTACTAGAAAAGTACATGCAACCATTGTAGGAAAAAAAAACAATTAGCAAGTGGCCTACAAATTAAAATAAAAATAATATGAAAAGGGCAACCCTAATTAACAGAACTGCAAGACCTGAGAGAGAAGTTATTGGTGGAATATTTGCAGAAATCAGCAGTTCAATACAGATTAATGACTCTAACCAGTCATATACTGTAGCAAACAATGAAGAAAGAGGAGTTTTAAATGGGAGTAGCTGCCTTCCTGCATACTGACTAGGAAAGAGATTTGAGAGTTACTATGGATAAAACTCCCAAGTCCCGCAGCAATTTGTGCAGTTACAATGAAGTAAGAATATATAGGGTACTAATGTTGAGTTGCTTTATGAAAAACATGGAATTCAAAATATAGTGTGTTATAATTTATTAACTCTGATGATGTAATGTAATTAACTCTGATGATGTATCTTTGAGATACACAGATTATGAAAAGTACTGTATTTGAAACTTCCCCCCCCCCAATAAATACAGAAAACATTTAAATTACGTGAATTTTTACAAGATATTGTTAGCCAATATCATATATTTTTAAAAGGCTTTGTATTTTTGCTAACTTGTTTAACTATGAAACATGCTCCCAGCATGCTTTAAATTTATAGTGGAAATACATGGGTAGTTAAACTATGTATGCCCCTTGTTCCTTATACTTGTGGGAAATGGCAAAAACAAGATATATATTCTGTTAAGGCCTGCCAAATATGGGCAATGCTAGTTATCTGTTTTAGGGATAACTGGTATAAGATGCCTTCAGATGTCCTTGTGACCTGCAAAATAATTGGAAACTACATAAGAAGGGGTGTGAAAGATCTTTAATTAATAAAGAGGATTCTGTAGAATATTGTATCTGTTGTAAACAAGTGGGGTATAAAAACAGGTAGTTGTTGTAAGAAATTCGGAACAGACTTCAGCTATAAGCCTGTCCTCCAGAGATTGGTAATGTATGAACCTGTCTCTTTGTGCTGATTTCTCTATGTTTTAATAAACTGATTGAACTGACTTATCTGATGTCTTATCAATAAAATAATTGAACCCATTGGTATCAACAATACTAAAACAACCAAAGAAATTACAAATCATGGTTGAAACTCCTCCCACAGACAGCTCTCATAGATTCAGGGCCAGAAGGGACCGTTGTAATAGTTTAGCCTGACCGTATAGCACAGGCCAAAGAACTACCCCCCAAAATATCTAGAACATATCTTTTGAAGAAATAATCCAGTCTTAATTTAAAACTTAACCAGTGGTGGAGACTCCACCATGACCCTTGGCAAATTGTTCCAATGGTTAATAACCCTCAGTGACGTATGCCTTATTTCCAGTATGAATTTGTCTAGCTTCAACTTCCAGCCATTGGATCATGTTATACCTTTGTCTCCTAGATTGAAGATGCCATTATCAAATATTTGTTCCCCATGTATGTACTTATTGATGGTAAGCAAGTCACCCTTAACTTTCCTTTTGTTAAGCTAAATAAATAGATTGAGCTCCTTGAGTCTATACCTATAAGACATGTTTTCTAATCCTTTAATCATTCTTGTAGCTCTTCTCTGAACCCTATCTTGCAGTTCGGCATTGAAGCAAGAATGGGATGTAACATTAACAGGCAAAAGTGTGAATTTTAGACTTACCGCTGAAGGCCTTCCTCTTGTTCATTTGCATCACCACTGTCTTGCTCATGCTCACACGTAACCAGGTCTCTCTTTTGATGTCACCTAACTCCATTTGTGCTCCCTGTATAGCAAAAGCACATATAGGATAGAGAAAACTCTTGAATATGTACTGGCAGTGTTTTCATCTTTCTCAGGCAAAGGATCTGTTCCTGAAATCCTCAGATCACCTGAGAATTGCAAAAACCAGACACATCCATGTACACACTCTGTATCTACCCACTGTTTCTTGCCCTCCCTGGCATCATGGAGCTTCTCTTTTCAAAAGACTGAGTGTGTTAACCTTCAGGGCAGGATGCACAGCCCACTGGAAGATGGGTGTCGTTGGAGGAGATTCTGTTGGTGGTTTTTGTCCTAATCCTGCATTAACACAGGCTTATCTTTACATATGTGAGTAGTTCTATTGAAGTCAATAGGACTATTCATGTATGTGCATAACTTTACGCATGTTAATGTTTGCAGGATCAGAACCTTTTAGTGGGGTTCATTAAAACTCTTTTATGTTGCTCCCAGATTAGGTATTTTCTACGGGTAACATGCATTTATCAAGGGTACCCACAGCTTGTGTAAATGAAGACATTAAATAAATCATAAATCAGACAAAGGCACAAGAATGTGCCTCAGTGCATCAATAATTATGCAGCATGTGTATATTAGGATGTACAAAATATATTTATTTTCAGCAGAAAGTTTGGACATGTTGGCCTGAATTACACCAAAAGTTGTTTAAGACTAAGAGCATTTACACAGAAGAATGTCTAGCCCATAGTAAGCACATCTCTCCTTAACAGAAGATCTTTCACACAAAAAAAATATTCTCTGGACATTACTCATAATGATGTCAATAACAGTCATTGTTCTACCACTGTAAAATGAAAGGGATCATGGCCTGCAAAGGAAAACCATCCACTTATCTTTACCTTTTTGTACTGCTGTTAAAAATAAGAGGCCTGTTTCTGCCAGTTGTTACTTCTCAAGGTTTCTTGAGAACTCAGAGTTGTATTCTGCATTCCTGCAGGCTGGGGAAAGAAGACTCAATTTAAACAATCATGAGACTCAAGTGTTGGTGTGCAGATGGCCCTCTACCTTTATTCCAAGGGATATGGCAAGCAGAACTGGGGTAATCAAGCATAAGTGAAAGGTAGTCTAGGAAAGCTGGAGCTGAATGTTACACTTTCAGTGTTTAGCCAGAGGTCAATTGAAGGTTATTGCTATTAGTCAAAGTACAGGATTTTCACGATCTAGACAGTATACTTAGCAATGGTGGTGTGCTACGTGGCACCTTTAATTTGTTGCAGGAAAGAAAAAATGGATCAGCCTACAAAGCAGCAGAAATTACTCAGTGTGATCAAGTTTCAGGGCATTGCCTGCAGTGGTTAAGAAGTATTGCACAATCATTTAGGTCCATCATTGGAGATAAATGGTATTGGAAATAGCTGGATGCAGAATACCCGACTTAAAGAAGTAGAAGTTGAAAAGTGATACTGTGGTGGTGCATTACTGCTTTGAGAAATAGGATAAAACCATGGTGAAATGGCTGTCCAATTAGTAACACCACCTGCCATTCTCACAAAGAGACCAGTGACTCTGACTGAGGCAGCTTTCCCATCTCCTTCACTATCATTTACACAGTTCCAGTATCTCTCTTTTATCTTAAAAAGAACATGGATTCCTAAAGCCTGATTCTGGACCCATCAAAGTCAGTGCTGATTTCCTAATTGACTACAGTGCATCCAGGGTAGGAATAAGTTATTTAAAAACACTTGGTTGTGCTGAAATGTTCACTTACAGGACTGCTAATACCAGGTAATATTTTGACACTATCTGATGTTGAGTTTACTTGAAAGTATAACCAATAGACAGCAGGAGTCCATTTAAGCAATAAACCAGTCAGAGAGAGAATAAAGCAGAAGAGACATTACTGAAGATATGCACAGTATCTAAAAAACCTGCCTCACAACTGACGATAAGCATTTTCCTAAGCTTTAACACAAATACAGTCAGACAAAGAGAACTAGCAAGACAATCTGCTGTATCACCATCTGGTGCCTCATGAAATGTTACAGCAGAGTTTATTTCCCATTCTGTTAGATTTTCCATCTTGAATCCTTTCACATCACTGCACCCTACAGAAATACAGCTGAATTTTTACATCTAAAAGGTGAGAGACAAAGAAAACAGTACAGAAACACAGCTTTTTAAAACAAATCCCACACTACCACAGCAAGTCCCTTTGTGCAACTACACTATCAGAAGAACTAGTTAAAAAAATCTTATGCTTCAGGGTATAAACTGATCAGGAAGGAATTCACCTCGACCATGTAGTTGTATTTGTTTGCAAAATTGCTCTTTTCAATCTTGATTTATGTATATGTCAAAAAGTTGTTTATATAAAAAATATTACACATAAAAAGCTACACCATTATGAGGGGAATGCAGCAGAGCTCATCACTCTATCTAAGCATGGTGAGCTCTTGCAAAAATATATCTTGCGGTTTGGGCTGAGCTGTGAGCTAGCCCCACAGTGCAATGTAAGTGCAAGGTGACCTACTGAAAGAAGACTATATTGGACTCAATTCAGCATTGCCCTGCACCATGTTGTGTCATTTATATCAGTGCAAAGTGGGTAAAAAAGCTACCACTCTGACTTGCTACTGCTAGGTGCAAGACAAAAAGTTGGACTCATTTTATTTATTTAGGTTTCAGTATTTTTTAGCTAAGCTCTAGCTGCAGGAAAGCTTTTGCCTGTGGTTAGTGAACCCTATTACCTCGAAAAATGAATGTGGGGATGCCCTTATAATAACCCACTGATAGCTCAGGAGGTCTGAGTTTCCAGGGTCGTTAAGGAAACACTAGAGGACACAGATGTAATCTTGTGATGACGTGATTGACACAGGCAGTATATCTTCCAAAACAAAGTATCATTTCATTAAAGAAGCTAATAATCCCTATTATAATTGTGACAAAGTTCCTCCTCTGCCTTCGTGTGTCCTGCGCTTATTGACGGATTTGCTCGCCTCAGAGATTCACGGCAGCCCTCAGTTTGGCCACTTTTGCCAGTGGCTCAAACCTGCCGTTCACTCGGCTAACCTCAACACTGGCCAGCATGGGGAAAAGGAGAACAATCACCGCAGACTCTGCTGGCCCACCTAGTGGGTTGGGGGACAGGCCAGAGACCTTCCCCTCTGGTGGGACACACAGTCCTGGTCAACTCCTCTTATATCAAATAGGGAGTTGGGGAGGATGGGGGGAACCCGGGCCTGCCCTCTACTCCGGGTTCCAGCCCAAGGCCCTGTGGATTGCAGCTATCTACAGTGTCTCCTGTAACAGCTCCGTGACAGCTACAACTCCCTGGGCTACTTCCCCAAGGCTACCCCCCATCACCTTCTTTATCCTCACAGCAGGATCTTCCTCCTGAAGCCTGATCACACTTGTATTCCTCAGTCCTCCAGCAGCATGCCTTCTCATTCCTTGCACACACTTCACTAACTGATGGGAGGTACGTTTTAAACCAGGTGTCCTGATTAGTCTGCCTGCCATAATTGATTCTAGTATATTCTTAATTGGCTCCAGGTGTCTTAATTAGCTTGCCTGTCTTAACTGGTTATAGCAGGTTCCTGATTGCTCTAGCGCAGCCCCTGCTCTGGTCACTCAGGGAGCAGAAAACTGTTTATCCGGTGGCCAGTATATCTGCCTTCGACTACTCTGCTGTACCCAACTGGCCTGGGTCTACCACACAATATAATCTAAAAATAGAAATCAGACATAAACCTTATTGCAAGTTAAAAAGCATTCAAACCTCAATCACATACAGCTCTCGTCCCCCAGCGCCTGTCCTCTATTTGCAATACATTCATAGAATCATAAAATATCAGGGTTGGAAGGGACCTCAGGAGGTCATCTAGTCCAACCCCCTGCTCAAAGCAGGACCAATCCCCAACTAAATCATCCCAGCCAGGGCTTTGTCAAGCCTGACCTTAAAAACTTCTAAGGAAGGAGATTCCACCACCTCCCTAGGTAACGCATTCCAGTGCTTCACCACCCTCCTAGTGATAAAGCTTTTCCTAATATCCAACCTAAACCTCCCCAACTGCAACTTGAGACCATTACTCCTTGTTCTGTCATCTGCTACCACTGATGACATCTTCATCATATGGCCCCACAGGAAGGAGGCCCTTGAAGAATTCCACCTGGATTTCAACAGTTTCCACCTCACCATCAACCTCAGCGTGGACCAGTCCACACAAGAGATCCACTTCCTGGACATTACTGTGCAAATAAGTGATGGTCACATAAACACCACCCTATACTGGAAACCTACTGACCGCTATACTTACCTACATGCCTTCAGCTTCCATCCAAGACACATCACACGATACATTGTCTACAGCCAAGCCCTAAAATACAACCACATTTGCTTCAATCCCTCAGACGGAGACAAACACCTACAAGATCTTTATCAAGCATTCTTAAAACTAACAATATCCACCTGGGGAAGTGAAGAAACAGATTGACAGAGCAAGACAAGTACCCAGAAATCACCTACTACAGGACAGGCCCAACAAGGAAAATAACAGAACACCACTGGCCATCACATACAGCCCCCAGCTAAAATCTCTCCAGCACATCGTCAACGATCTACCACCTATCCTGGAAAATGATCTCCCACTCTCACAGACCTTGGGAGGCAGGCCAGTCCTCACTTACCAACTGTGCACCAACCTGAAGCAAATACTCACCAGCAACTACACACCACACCACAGAAACACTAAGCCAGGAACCAATCCCTGTAACAAACGCTGTTGCCTAATGTGTCCCCATATCTACTCTAGTGACACCATCATAGGACCCAGCCACATTAGCCACACCACCAGGGGCTCATTCACTGGCACATCTATGAATGTGATATATGCCATCATCTGCCAGCAATGCCCCTCTGCCAAACCAGACAGACTCTACATAAAAGAATAAATGGACACAAATCAGACATCAGGAATGATAACATAGAAAAGCCAGTCGGAGAACACTTCAGTCTCCCTGGACATTCAAATAACAGATTTAAAAGTAGCCATCCTTCAACAAAAGAACTTCAAAAACAGACTTCAAAGAGACACTGCAGAGCTACAATTCATTTGCAAACTTGGGCTTGAATAGGGACTGGGAGTGGCTGGCTCACTACAGAAGCAATTTTCCCTCTCTTTAGTATTGACACCTCTTTATCAATTATTGGGAGTGGACCACATCCACCCTGACTGAATTGGCCTTGTCAGCACTGGTTCTCCACTTGTAAGGTAACTCCCTTCTCTTCATGTGCCAATATATTTATGTCTGTATCTGTAATTTTCACTCCATGCTTCTGAAGAAGTGGGTTTTTTACCCACAAAAGCTTATGCCCAAATAAATCTGTTCGTCTTTAAGGTGCCACCTAACTCCTCGTTGTTTTTATACAGTTTAAAGGATTCTAAGTCAAGCACTTTGCTACAAATGGCTAGTTTGTAACACATCACTGAGAGCAGTTCTTAAATTATACTTTTTTTATATAAGTAAATACAAATAAAATACACACTCACATTTCAAGTATACATATATTAAATAATATGGTAGAGTAGACTACACTAAAATTATAGTTTAAAAAAACCTAACAGGCTTACTTTCTACATCCTGTTCTTTTAATCTCTGTTGCTGCTTTATAAATTCTTTGGTATTCTTCTTTAATCGCGGTTGCTGCTCATATCTGGTCAGTCAGCTCCATTTGTTCTGGTCTTCTTCTTCTCTCTCTCGCCACAGTTTCTGATTCTTCTTTAGCAGCTCTTCTTGCTGGTGTCCAATTTCTGTCAGTCTTCTCCCAGGTTACATTACTTGCCGTCTCCTGACTTTCTAACTACCTGTCAGCACACTGCCTTTTATACTGTCAAACCTTTAGAATTACTGCACATGCTCACTACCAACATTACCTTGGGCATGTTCAGACTTGTTCAATACTAGTAACCTTGCACATGCAAGATACAAGATCCTAAAACATATGCCTTTAATAAGAAAGCAAATGATCATCTAAAGAGAACACAAGTGGTCATTTTATAATAGGGAATTAATAATATATAAAGCTGGGAACAAGGTGAGCAAAGTAGAAATCTTTAAAAACTCTATTAATAATAGTAATTAATAGAGAAGTGAACCCAAATGATATTATGTATGAACACACTGTCAAAATTGGCCAGAGATGACTATCAAGGGAGATCCAAATAACTCTCTTTGTTAAGAATTTAAATATTAGACCTTCTTTGTGGGAAAGCCATTAAATCATTTTATACACACATCAGCATACTATAGGTTTTTAATAAGTGTACCCAAGCAGCCATATACATACCCAATAACCAAGGTGTTTGTACACATGGACAAAGCTCCTAACACACAAACAACACTGGGGATCATAATTTATCCACCTGTGAAACTCATATATGATGAGTACCTAATGACACCAAATCACCTTGCTGGACGGGAGTCAAATGTTCATAATGTGATTGAGTTTACCTCACTGGAATGAATAAACCAGGATTACTTTTAAATAATAGCAATTGGAATGCAAATGCTGCTTGACTATTCATTTTTATGCATAAGAGTTATCATAATAAATCAATCAAACCTCTTAAACCTAAAATCCTCTTATGATAACATCCATAGAGGAGACCAAAGTGATTAACAGCTTTCCACAAAACTTGACCCCAGTTTAAAAGTTTACCCTTGAGTACAGAGAAAGCCGAGTCAATTTCTTAGAGTAAACATCATGATTGAAAATGGGAGATTTATCATTGATCTCTGTTTAAAAGGCATGATCCTGAACACATCACTCCTGGGAGACAGCAGCCACCCAATCACATAAAAATGTGGATTACACTGTCAATCAACTAGTGCATGCTAACTGCTGTAAAGATGGTAATCCCTGCAATAGTAGAACTGAGGCGTTTAAGGAGAAACAATACAAAAAAAGTGGTTACTCTGATGGTGAAAGAAAGGGGGAAGACTATCTATACAAACAGGAACTTTAAGGATATGTCTACATTGGAGCTTGGTGCGAGTAGACAGACTCAAGCTAGCTCAGCTCAAGCTCACATGCTAAAAATAGCAATGTAGACATTGCAGTTCCAGCAGAGACTTATCTAGCCACCCATGCTCAGGGGGTGAGGTGGGCATGAGAGCCTGAGTCACCATTGAAACCACAATGCTCACACTGCTATTTTTAGCATGGCAGCTCAAGCCCCTCTAGCCCAAACCTGTCTACCTGCACTGGGAGGCTCATTTCCAGCTGCAGTGTAGACATACCCACAAAGAGCTCTATGTTTTGTACTTTCTACATAAAGTGAGAATTACAAAATACATTCAGAATAAATCATCTCAGAGGGGAAGGAATATGTTCTTAGCCAGGCTTTAATTTGGCTCACAATATTGCAGCCTAGAAGAGTGATTCAGCAGCTGGCATGCCCCTTTTGGCTGGGCATGACCTAGCAGGATCTCCTCCTCTGCCACCCTCTTTTGACAGCAACCTCAGTCTTGATGTGGTCTGCTTCTGTTCATGCATGTGGTAATGTAGGTTATGAAAACTTGTTTCTGAATAGCTACAGGCCAAATTTTAATCTCAGGGACACATTTCTAACTTCCATTGCATTCAGTTGGAGTTGTGTGTGCATATCAGAAGGTGGAATTGTGCCTTAAACTCATGTATTGTAATCTACCATTCCAGGGGGGAAGAACATACCTCTCAACTGACCTAGATTTTGTGGGATGTTTTAGTATCCTTTCACCTTGCTGTAATCCCCTAGAGTCTGAGTCATGCCTCCTAGTTCCAGATTATGGAGATTCCACCAGTGTACTCCCACCAGGGGGCCATCTGAGAGCTTCCCTCCTATTTCTCGCAGGGTGCCAGGCCCTTTTCTCTCCATGGAATTTACTTTCTTTTCCATACTCCACAGTTTGCAGAGTTGGGTATAAAAAGAATCAGCAGAATAGGAACAATTTAGGCAGTATGCATACATCAAGAGGAGTTAAGGGGGAATGGGGAAGATTTAAGAAATGGCTTTGTTATTATTTATGAGTAGTGTCTGGTACATCACAGTGTTTAGTGTGTTACAACCATCAAAATATAATATATATCATGAAACTAGAGCTCCTCTCCATAAAATGACTTAGACATTGCAACACTGAGCATTGCTAAACCTATGTTTTAGGTGCCTAGTCATCCAATGGAATCCATAAAGCTATAATCCACAGTTGGCACCTATAAAGTGTGTGGGGAGAGACAGGCACCTAAGAATGGGATTCACAAAAGCCAACACCATAGGTTAGGACAGGGGCAGGCAAACTTTTTGGCCTGAGGGTCGCATCGGATTTCTGAAATTGTATAGAGGGCCAGACAGGGGAGTCTATGCCTCCCCAAACAGCCAGGCATGGCCCAGCCCCCGCCCCCATCTGATCCCACGCCCGCTTCTCACCCCCTGACAGCCCCCCCCGGGACTCCTGCCCCGTCCAACCCCCCTTCCTTCCTGACTCCCCACCCCCCCACCCCCGGGACCCCTGCCCCATCCAACCACCCCTTCTCCCTGACCGCCCCCAGACTCCTCGCCCCTAACTGCCCACCATACCCATTCAATCCCCCTCTCCTTCCTGATTCCCCCCCAGGGACCCCTGCGCCATCCACCCCCCGTGCTCCCTGTCCCCTGACCACTCCCCACTGCCCCATCCAACCACTCCTTTCCTTCCTGACTGCCCCCCCGAGACCCCTGCCCCCATTCAACCCCCGTTCCCTGCCCTTTGACTGCCCTGACCCCTATCCATGCCCCTGACCACCCCCTAACTCCCCTGCCCTCTATCCAATCCCCCCGTGTCCCCTTACCGAGCTGCCTGGAGCACCAGTGGCTGGCAGCATGGCTGCACCAGGAGAGGCAGCCACGCCGCGCAGCACAGAGCACTGGGTCAGGCCGGGCTCTGTAGCCCCGTCGCCCAGAGCATTGCGCCTCACAGCGGCATGGCTGCGGGGCGACAGCAGGGGAGGGGCTGGGGGCTAGCCTCCCGGGCCAGGAGCTCAGGGTCTGGGCAGGATGGTCCCGCGGGCCGTAGTTTGCCCAGCTCTGGGCTAGGAGCTTCCTAAACTAACAAACAATAGATGCACAAGCTCCGCCCCCTCTCCAGGAGTTAAGCACCTAAATTCTTTTGTGGATCTGGGTTTAAGTGCCTGATTCACTGTTCTTCCACCCCTGAACCAATGCATGACCAATATGGCAGTATTATTCTTTGCAGTGTGGTTGCACCTCAGGGACCCCTGCATGGGATCAGTGCCCTGTTGTGCTGGGGACTGTAACACATATAACAAAAAGATGGTCTGGGTGCCAAAGAGCTAACCATCTAAGTAAATGAAAAGGACAAGTATCATTTTAAAGTATATTTAAAAGGAAATATCACGTATTTTGCTCATTAGATCCACAGTGGATGGTTTGGAGGATGAATAGTATGAAAGGACAAATCAAACAGTATTGTGAAGTGAGGGTATAAAGACCATAAAGGGATTTATTATAGACTACAGGAAATACATGTGGGTTAACAGAATGCCCACCCTGTATGTGAGGACTCTGATTTAGATTCCCTTTTTGAGCTAACAAGTCAGGTCATTAGAATTTTACATGCCATCATTTGCACCAAAAGTAAATTCCCCTGGAATGGGGTGCCCACTGTTACTAGGGGGCAAACAAATGTGAAGCCATGTTGATACTCTTTTAAAAAATCAGCCCCTATATCCATGGAATATATAAAATTCCAAATCGAAGAGAGGAATTCAGTTACTGAAGAAAAGTAAATGTGGTGGAATGAGATACAGATTTGTTAGCTCAAAATACTAACACCAAGTGCCAGTAAGGAAGTCACATTGCAAATCTCATCATGGAATAGTTCTTTAAAACTACTTTAGGCTGCATTAATAATCAATACCACTGCAAAATCAAATTGATCAATTCTGACAAAGGTGGAAGATGGGGAATACTTTGAAAACAACATCATGAAATAATTTGTTTGAGTATATATGAGATAAGAGATGGATTAAAGTATTACTCATTATTTTGCATAGTTAAAATCTTGGGTAATATGCAGATTCACAAGCTGCACAAACAGATGTTCATTCTAGGCCTGCCTGTTTAAAAAACAAAAGAAAACAAAAAAAAAAAAAACCAAAAAACATACAGCTTATCAAAAGGGACAGAAATTCTTAGCTCCAGAAAAATATTTTATTTTTAAAATTTGAAACAGTAAAGATTGACAAAAGCCTGCAGGCTTCACATGATAGAATAGCTGTGTTTAAACTAAGTTTTTTGAATTGTTTAAAAGTAAAAAACATTGTGAGAAATGCTGTCCTTTAAATCCACGGAGCAGCTCAGCTATAATCAGATTGTACATGTCTATTGAAAATTAACTGGTGCAGCAGAATTTATGTTAGTATGTGTTAGGATATAGATATTCAGGCCTGTCTGTAAAGACCTATACTCTAAGAGTTTAGTGTATTCTTATCACTTAGCTAGTGATAGAGGTATAAATTCACTGTCTGCCAGTGTAATGGCCTTCTCTTACTGTGACAGTCTGAGGCCCTGTTCTTAGGCTAAGGCCTTTGGCTAAGCAGCAGAGCCAGCCATAAGCTGGGAAGCGACCGGTCACATCCTTACTTTCCAACCTAGTCACATTGAAATAAGGTGCTATTGGGCTGTTAAGAATACAATCCTGTCCTATCACCTTCAGAGAAAGGGAAGTGGCCTAGAAAATGTAAAAGGAAACTTAGTTTGATAGCATCCTGTCTGGCAAGAACTCACTTATCAATAGCTGGGATGT